GCATTCAGAGTAACATCGTAAACATATTATTCACCTGAGTACACAACACCAACACAGAAAAAATTCATATTACTAGAACACATTGGTATTGAAGGAACTAGATACTGTTCCGAAATATCACTTACTCGAACCGTCCTGACCGCGTAGCACAGTTGGAAGAGCATTGGGCTAGTGTTCCAAAGGTCGTAGGTTCGAATCCCACCGTAGCCGGGCATATTTTTCAAGCTCGCCCGGTGTGGATATGCACTCAGAGTAACATCGCAAACATATTATTCACCTGAGTACACAACACCAACACAGAAAAAAAATTCTTGTAAAATGATATGTGTTGTTAAGAAGCCATTAATAGGATTAGGAAGAGCAAAGAAATATCCTCTAAACATTTCTTCTTCGTCGCATTGCCATTGGTAGCAATAGCTCTTGGATTCCAGATTATAATTACACTTTAATAATTAAAATATCTGACTTTATTCTTGCTATTATTCCTTGACCTTGGTCAGTGGTTAAAAGCGAGATGGATGCACAGACACAATATATAAAGAAAGTAGCCAGCGATAAAACATATAACACCCGGCCGCCTTTTAATTTGGAAACCATGCACTACAATAATATCTGTAATATTACTCATGAGGAGCTAATTGTCATTTTTACAAAAAGTACTTTTATATTTGCATACAAAAACAATATAGAAAATTCTTAATTAAGATATCGAAGTTCAGTACTTTAATTATTTAGCATATATTAGCCTAGCAGAAAACTCAAACATACACTCTTGAAACTGAACCAAAGATGAATCTTACTTCAGCAACAGACACGATTTTTAAAATTTGCACATTGTGTAATTCGAAATACCAAGCCGTTATCCGTTCGCCGTCGGAAGGCTTTCTTATTAACCAAATCCTCGTATGTTCTGTGAATGGCGTCCTGATACTTTTGACTGTTATATTGAACAGTGTTGCAATACGAACCATTTTGAAATGTTCTCAACTTAAAAAAAAATTGTGTTACTTTCTTCTTGTTGTTCAATCTGTCGCCGACTTACTTGTTGGAGTGATCGGGTTGCCATTATTTACGCTTGTCTTGATAAATGATATAAATGGCGATGCCAATTGCACTACAAACTCTCTGTTTATACAAGCACCATATCTTACAAGTGGATTTTCAATGATAACCATATCTGCCATGAATTATGAGAGATACATGGGTATTTTGCATCCATATACTCATCGTTATAAATTAACAAAGAGAAAACTTTTGTCTTATGTTTTGTTTGCATGTGCCTTGCATACCATATCAGTGACAACGTTTTTTATTCACAAGAACGTTGGTAGATTAATTCTATCCGTGCTTATACCTCTTTTTCTCGTAACAACAGCGTATGTTTATATTAGAATTTTCCTGGTTGCAAAAGGGAGGCCTCCTGTACAAAATCCACCAAATCACATCGCAGGTGAACATCGTGAATCGACAACGAACATAAAGATGAACAACCTTAGAGAGATAAAGCTAGCAAAGTCATGTTTTATGATAGTATTTCTGTTCGTGTTCTGTTTTCTACCAATATCCATTTTGTATGCGTTGTTTCCGGATCAAGTGAGAACAGTGAAGTTCAGAAACGTTCAGTCGTGGTGTGTGACAATTGCCATGTTAAACTCAAGTCTCAATTCTGTCATTTTCTTTTGGACCAGACCTGTGCTGAGACAAGAAGCGAAAAAATTATTCGAAAGATTTCTGTTTAAACGTTGATCAATTCCTTTAAATGGTAATTCAGGATTTTAGGCATCTGCATGCGCTCGATCTAATTAACTAACTCGCAATTGCTCCTGCATGGTTAGGTCTAATAAATGTACAACATTCACCCTCGAAATTACATGCATCTACAAATCCCTTCTACGAATGGTAATTAGGTAATTCCAATATACATTAAAAAAACGTATGGAACATGATCAACTTAAATTAACGAAGACTGTTCCTCCCTACTTCCTATACTGAAGACAGGAAGTCCATGCCCTACAGTCATGGCAATGAAAGTATTCCTAAAATATTCTACCAATTGATTTGTTCATACGAACCAATTCATTTGCTGAGTTATTTAAAAATGTGATAACTTCCTGTATCAGGATTGTTGTCATGCAAAAAAATATATCGCTAGGTAAATGGTTGCCAAGACAATCAAGTTATCCTGCCTATCATTGACTATCATCTAGTGGTGGGCACGACGCGAAATATTGTGGGTGATGGTAAATTAACAAAATATTCCGATACTTCGTTGCCGCAAATTACAACCATCCACGACTCAAATGATAATATGCTTCAGTCAAAAGGATATCAGGCTTTCATTGAAAAAACCCTGTTGGTCATATGGCCTCCTATATACCTTTCACCACTGACATCATCCAAGTCCTAAAACAATGTATCTCTTAATATAAAATGGAAAGTTCTACTTATAATTCTGATTTTACAACACCTGAATTAATCCCCAAGCGACGCCTCGAATGCTCGGAGCGAGAGTACAATTTTAGCCCGGCTTTTCACACCCAGAAAAAGAATACAGCGTGAAGTCAACAGTTATAAACTGTGGCTATGTATGAGGTCACTCGGGTAGTCACCGCTGACTTCAAAGATATGTCAGAAACAGAACTAATTTCCATGTAAAAAGTCCTTTATTTTTAACTTTAAGAATTAACTATTTGAACATGCTTTAATTCGATAAGATGTGTTAATATTTACTTAATACGATGAGAAATGTATATACGCCAAGGCTATGACATACATGTAGCAAGGACAAGCAGTGACAGACACTATGCAAAATGTTGGGAGTGCGAATTTAGCCCGCCACAATGATGTTGCATTTTTTGCTTTAAATTAATGTAATTGTTCAAACCTTTTTAGATTGCATGATGAAAACTGCTGCAACTTAGTTAATTAGTTAATCAGCAATGGAGGCGGTTCCCTTGGTGTCCTGTACTGAGGACAAGGTAATTGCTTGCTAATAGCACAGAATACTACACAGAAGGCCATCTCCATTGTTTTTAGCGTAAGCGCTATTCGTCATGATTCGTCACTCAGCAAGTACCGTAAACAGTCCCCCCCCTGGAAATACTAAAAATGGCGAACGTCCAGGGGGGTAACTGCTTCTGTTTACGGTACTTGCTGAGTGACGAATCATGACGAATGGAGCGTACGCAAAAAAACAAAGGAGATGGACTTCTATGTAGTATTCTGTGCTAATAGTAATATATCGCACCCAATGCAAATATGTCGCAATAAGTGTCTGCCACTAAAACGATTATGAGATAGATTGCTTCGTATTTTAAAATGAAGAGTCCTCTGCATGGTCAGTATATACTTGCATGTTCGCACATATAGCTAGGCAGAGTGGGACTTCACTTAGCTTTGAACGCAGCATACAGTATAAACATGTACCAGCAATTTGATAATAGTTCATTCTTCTTGCATTCATCAAAGTAGACTGTTTGACTGGACAACTGAGTGCAAAATCTCCAAGCCATGCAGCTCACGTAGTTGTTCCAAAAACCTAGAAAATGGTCATTAAAAATAGTAATTAATTCTCTCGTGTTTACAAACGTGAAACTATGCCAGCATATTATGTAGGCAGTGTGTATGCTCATGCACGGTTGTTCATCGTTAGCTTCAACCGATGGTTTTTGTAAACGGACGTTTTATAGACTGAGTATATTGTTGAGATCGACTATATATTTACTATATGGTAAAGCTACAAGATCAACTCGTACTTTTAATGTAAATATTGTATCGTAATCAATACACACCTTAAATCGTGTTTTACCAGCTTAGCAAGAGCAATAGCTACATTCTGTTTGACTCCGTCTGTTAAATCTTTTCTTGTGACCAGAGTCAACAAATCTTTCACAATTGATGTTCCAACAAACTGATCACACGCCTTACCTATACAAGATGGAAAAATTAACTACAGTGTTTATTTTCCTCACATAATGATACTAGATACCCCGTGAAATATATTGATCCAACCCGACCTGAATCAAAATTAAAAGAGTCCTTGGACTATATCAAAATTAATTCATTTCACTATACATAACGATTCCTCAGATTCGGACTGGGCTTGAACTGGAACAAACTGTTTGAAATATTCCCAAAGCAAAAACCACTATAGCCTTCGGACAGAATTGCATTCACGCTCCTGCATCACCAGTGATGGACATTTGGTGAAATATTGGGAGTGCGAATTTAGGTTGGCAGCATATGTCGCTCTGATGTAATTACAAATCTGAGTTCTTTTGTCGTTAATGAAAATTAATTTGTCTTAATTATATAGCATATGCCGAAAACTTCTTTGTCGGTCATCGATAGCGTAAGGACCCCAAATGATAGCATGCAGAAGCGTGTCCTTGTTTAAATAAAGATTTTTCACCACATTATAAGTCAGGGGCGTAGCCAGTCCCAAAAAAGTGGGCAACCTCGTTTCCAGGAGGGAAACGCCTGGGAACGAGGTTGACAAGTGGGGGGGTCTAATCGTCCGGCTGTCCACGGGCATGGTCACTCGGAAAATGTTTCTGTTTAATTGGCTTCGCGAAATGTTATTTCATGCATTTTAGACAGTCACGTTTTATGATCATCTGAAACCTACAGATTTGGTATATTTTATGTCATAGATGAAAACATTAAGAGGTTACGCTCCCCCAGTTTTGAAAGAATTACAATATCGTTCCTGAAGAAAAATGTGGGGGTGGGGGTACGCCTCTGCATAAAGCATTCATTCGAAGACTTCTACAACGCCACTGTGCATCGCCATAATACACTGTTCCCATTCACATACTTTACCTTGTTCAAAACAGTTGCTTAAAATGAGAGCAGAATTTCCCACGATGGTTTCATTGCTTGATGATAATAACCTATGAAACACTGCGAGGCCATTTACGCTAACATACGCCTTTGCATCGTTATTTCTAGCTGTACAAAAAGCTAAACATTTCACGCCATAAGATATTGTACTATCATCAGAGGTTCTCTACAAAATAGAAAGGAAACATTTCGGCAATCAGAAAAATGATCTCAAGACCTGGATATTTTGAAAACTCAGGATATTTTCAATTTTCACACATACTATATGGGCGAATCGTGATGGGCAACATGGAACAGGTTTGTAATAAATGTAAGTCATGTAACAATAACTATAATATTTCATTTTTCACACGTAATGAGGTATAATGTACGGTAACATTTTCTATTGTTTTTAAAATTTCAAAAAGACTAATTAAGAATCCGAGAAATATTCAACACGCTTCCTGTGTTTCTGTACAGCTATAGAAACACTTGTGGTAGTTTGGTTTAGTCTAGAAACACGGAAAATGTTTTCTATTTATTAAACACTGTACAGGGTACCTCGATGATTTCCAGTAAGATTTCATACGAAGTTTCAGTGCAAGCGAGTTGAACTACTTCTTCACTATAAGTCATCAATAACCGTAAAACACCAACCACCCGCTGCAATAGAAACATTATCATTGACCTTTACAACAGAATGTCACATTATTTAAATGCTATAGTCAGTGATAAAGATGAGGAAATGCATGGTCACCTATTACCTAATTACTTGTTTGAACAATTGGTGGGTTTGAGTATAGTTATATAATTCGACAAAAACGTATCGTTCAAAATTGACGTTCAAAATTGCACAAGTCCGAAAACAAGTGCTATATTTCTTATTAATATACATAGCAACAATATGCAGAGGCAAATTCATGGTTACTTGCATGCATGCATGAAACACATGCGAAATAGATCATTTACTCACTCATTTGAATGACACAACAACTTCAAAAAGTCATTTAAATCTTTATTCAAAATGTATTTTGTTTATGAACTTGCCACATATTTCTTTTTTGGCAATGAAGTGTATTTTTTGGCACTGTATTTCTTTTTTCGCACTGTATGTCGATAAAATTTAATGCACTGCTTTTAGCCAATCAGTAGTGAGTGCATTTTCATGCATATTATTAACGGAATGACGGATGAACAAAAATACTTCAAAAATACCTCATGACTATTTTCACTCAAAAACTGTAATGAGTTATACAATGTACCCAAAGTGGTTCAAAATATTCAATAAAATTACTCAAATTTATAACCAGATTTATGGCAAATGAGCAAATATTTTTCCGAATATTTACCAAAAAAAGTGTTGTTTGTAAATTTTCTCATAAATTTGAGCAATTTTACACAATATTTTCAGTCACACTCTGGTGGCCGCATGCATTGTTTTACTCAAAATTTGCGTCAAATTAGTGAATCAATCTCTCTATTTTACTTTTTTGCCACCAAAAACATGAACGCGACCGATGACACAAGCGCTGGTCATAAATACCTTTACGAGATCCGTATTTTCTGAAGTAAGTAACTTTAACAAAATTGGAGCAATGGAGATAGCGTGATTCTAAAACAATTAAGACTATGTGAGAACTCAGACAACTCTGAAACGTATAAAATATAACATGGTTGTCGGATAATATTCACCAATTTAATCAATCTAAATCAATAAAATTATTCATTAATTCAATCCTTTCTCAACTAGATTTGATATCTTCATACCAGGAACAGTTGCAAAAAATGCAACTATAGGCCCTCTGGCAGCAATTGAACCTGTGGATCTGCAATTCCGGTGCAGCGCTCTAACCAACTGCATGAGCTACAGAGTCCAGTTGTTTAACATTAACCACATATTCATGTACTTTATTATATAGTAGAGAGTGAGATACTGAAAAATACACAGTGAGATATTTTCCATATATTCACTATATTGAAGATATCGATCACGTGAATTTTTCCAATTTGCTTTTGAGCGTGAAATTTCACAATTTCTTGTTTGGGACTATATAATAAACAGAACATTACACGCGGTGGCTTGAAGATATGACTTTTATCTTCTCGTGACGTGTTAAAAACAATATTTCATTCACTCGCTGCGCTCGTTCGTAAAATATTGTTTTCACCACTCGAAGATAAAAGTCATATCTTCGCGCCGCCGTGTAATATCCCTCTATATATATAATGGAGGGGTGCCAGTATAAGGTATTTGGGCATCTACTTCGATACAACTAATAGTAGATAGTTCTCTTGTAGATGGTATTTTCGAACGTAACGCTCTATTAGACCTAATAGTTCGAAATTAGAATTCTGCCTACCAAAAAACCATCTACTATTAGTTACAGTATATCAAGATATCCAAAATGTAGATATAATTCATAAAATACCTTTAGATAAGTTGATTCATCGGTCGCAAGGTTAATAAATAGACCCAGTTCAGCGTAAATCATATCACCGATCTCTCCGCGATTGATATCATCAACATATTCAGTCTGGATGTAAAATTTTTCACATTATCAAAATCGTTAAATAATCGATAATCGATTTTTTATTAATAGCATGCAACAATTAATTGTTTCGAATCACAATCATTTTTGGTCTAACCACAGTAACTTAACGTTTGTATAGTGTAGCAAATTAAAAACGTGGGAGTAAAATAAATTAATGCTGATTTAGGTTCAAATGTACACAGTGTAACATTAACTAGTAACAAAAGTAGACAAAAATTGTAATTACTAAAATAATAAGACCATATACAAAAATCATAAACTGACATGAAAAATAAGGGTGGAGTAATATGAACAACTAAGGCCCCGTTTACACTATACCAGATTCGCTCGTCACGACATCTTCTTTTGCCGTTAAGGAGCAATGGTTAGTAGCAAATGCTTATTAGTTTGACAGGATTGACATGTTTATTTGGGTTTCTGAAATTAAAAATCTTCACAGCCTTTCAATACCTACAAAATTTGACCCGCTCCGATAGCAATCCGCTATAGTGTAAACGGGGCTTTAATGGTTAATTGCTGCAAATTGGCAAAAACTGATTTCAATGTATGCAATTAAAAATATGTTCACATGCATAAATAACATGCAAACATTACTTATTTAATAGAATAATGCATGAGTTATTCTGAAACTATTTTTGCAGTATATATACAAATGAACAACAATTGTCCAGTGTCCAGTATGATACAACATCAGCTGTACAGTCTGTCGGTCTCACTATACTCAGCTCACATAATAAATTTGTTCATTTCATCTCAAAACTTATAAAGATGGCATGTGAACGATGTTTAGCACTTTAGCTAACTGTTTTTGTTGAGAAAACAATCGAAAAATCGTTATTTCACATTTGGTACGTTTTACGATTGACCATGGCAATCAGCGAATAGTGTGCAAGTGGGCGTATTTCATTTAGGACAAACATAAAAACGATGATAATTAAATGGTACGAACATTTTACCGAGATTTCAGGGCCCCTCTGAGCACTCGGGGCCCGGGGTATTTTGCCCCCCCCCCTCACCCCTCTCGCCGGCCTTGCCAGGAATCTGGTTATGTTTGACCAGGACTGCCTGGTAACTTAACCAGACTAAAAGTATGTTAAGTGAACAAATAACCAATAGCCCCTGGCTCGATGACAATTTTAAATGTTTACAGTTTCTAACTGATCTGCTGGTCATATGTGAAAGGAACCTAAATAGGATAAACATTGGCCGCCACAAAACAAGCTTTCCGTTTTACTAACCAGAACATTGACGCACAGCCTCCACAATTGATCATTACACTGGAGTCTCTTCCTTATTTCCTTGACTCGGGCTAAATTTGCCAAGGTTGCAAAACCTGAAGACACAAGTGTAACTTGAGCTTTGACATCAAGCTTTGAATTATTGGATACATGACCCTGATTGATCTAACAAAATAGAAATATAGTGTCTGCTATAATACGAACAAAGATTGAAAGCAAATTATCTAAATACAGTATATGTTAGAAAATGAATCCTAATTACCAACCATAGATGTTTCCACAAGGGACAAAACAACTTTTTCTAATTGAAAATAATATTTTGAGGCAAACCTGCAGAAATACAAGATTAAACATAATTATTAAAACGTCCTGCATGGGTAACAATCAGGATCCCGGCCATCCCACACGACAGAACCAATTGAAAGGCCTTTGCATGTAGATGGAAATTTCGAATGCAAATTCAGGTACTCTGAAACTTAACCATACACTTTAAACTGGCATCGCCTTAATATAGTTATATGAACTTACAGTAAATTAAAGCTCGACAACTGGACTCTGCAGCCCAGCTGGTTAAAGCAGCTTACAGCGCTGCACCGGAATCGCGGGAGGGGAGGTTCGATCCCTCCCAGAAGCCTATATATAGTTGATTTTTCGCAGCTGCTCCTGGCTAGGTCTAGGGATGTATGAAATTTGCACTCGACATGTCCATCTACAAAGGCCCTTAAACATATCGCGGGAAATTTGTGTGGGCATGCATTCTCCACAGGCAGTCTCATTTATAATTCACATTTTAGAGTTATATATGTAGCAATAATAGGTGAGTAATGCGTTAGTGACTCACTATTAGTCGACATAAATCTGAGATAAATACAATTTCTTGACCTGTACAGTCAGTATGTGACAGCCTAGACCTAGGCCTTCTATTTTTATTTTTATTTTTATTTTTTTAATATTCAGCGCTTTTTCACATGAAAAGACTGGGACTAGGTGATTTGGGGCTTGCGTCCTTCCTCCGCCCCGCCCCCAAATCACCTAGTCCCAGTCTTTTCATGTGAAAAAGCGCTGAATATTAAAAAAATATAAATAAAAATAGAAGGCCTAGGTCTAGGCCGAGTATGTGATATTGTTGAAGCAGAAATACCTTACGTTTGGTTTAAGGATAAGTTGTTCATGCATCCCATGACAACCCTTGAAATTTCATTTCTTTTGTCCAAGAATTTGAACAGTTCGTCTATAAAGCATCTGCAAAAAGCGGCGGAATAAAGTGAAGATGAGATATTAGCAGAAAGAGTTAAAATTAGGAACCAGGATTAATAGCAGTCATGTTTTCGCTCGATTCTATACGGTTTTTAACTAAATAAATGCAAGGCCCAGTCGAATGGCATTCACAACCTTTTTTAACGTTTCAACAATCAATATTCTGTGAATGCAATTCGACTGGGCCTTGGCTTTGCATTCATTTACTTAAAAACCAGAGTAGCCAGCGAAAATACGCCTGAGCAAGGGACCAGAAATATCTTCCATTTGCTTTTTGATCGCGATAATTTATTATTTTTACAGTGTACGACGCCATTTTGAACAATTAACCAGTTATTACGATAGCGTTCCGAACACGCGCCGAACAATTTCCGGAATTTCAAATAATGTTAGGGGTGTATAATTATAATAGAGAGGTCTATATTATATACCAAAATTAGAGCAGTAAACTCCAAATTATAGTGCTTTATTATTTACCTTTTACATTGAGCATAATTTAGTATGTGTTCTCTCCCCAATATAAACTCTGTCAGTTGATGTAAAAGTTTCACTGAAGCTAAGTGAACTTTCTCAACATTGCACTTGTGCAATAAGTTGTGTATTATATCAATTACTTCGCGATTAAGAATCTCTTCAACATTGTGTTCTATCACAAAATAATGAAAAAAACAAAATTAAAATTACGGAAAGTTTGCAAAGCGGCACCAAGAAATACGTATACATCAACACACAATTTTGGAAAAGGTTCGAGAGTATGCATAAGATGGAGAAATACACTATTCTCTGGTAGGTGCAATTTGTGTTATCTCATTGCCGTATATATTGGTGATATTTTTGTTTATGTGGTTGAGGGTTATTTCATTCCTGTAAGAATCGAACAAATAACTCGCCAAATTTACGACGAAATTAAACAATTTAAAAAGAAATATAAAAATTTTATTGTGAACTTTCTTTCAAAAATATCAAAACGTGACCGGGCCGGGATCCTGGTAGATATATATAGATTACTTTTGCAAGTGGTGAAGTGTACAATGTTACAATTCCTCTATATCTATCGAAATTTATTATAACGAATGAAAAACTAACTGGATAATAATGAAACTTCAGTCATCTTTACAATAATATATCCTACTTTCGAATGCTTACCATTATCAGTGATAGCAATTTTTCCAAGGTTCAGCATTTCGCAAACAAACGTCTCTTGCTCAGCAGAATCCCACGTGGAAGAATTTTCACAGAGCCTAAATATATCAATTCTAGATCTGACCATTTATGCACAACAACTTATAAGGGTCTCTCAGTGGTTTCTATACGGAACACTGGAAAAAAATTGAAAATCCATAAAATGGAAATTGTATGGACCTTTATTGGAAATAGAATGGATTTTGATTATCCATAATAATTGTGTATTTCCACACTATGGATATAGTATGGAAATAGTATGGATATACTTACAGTAGTACGGATATACTTAGTTCCCAGTGGAACAAGGCACATGTTTCAATGGGAACAACGGAACAAAGCCAAAAAATTACAGAGAGCAAGGGAACATGTAAGCTTGGAGAACAAGGGAACATGGTGAAAATTTTGTGAGGAACAAGGGAACAAAGAAAAATTTTCAAGGGAACACGGGAACACCCCCTGGCCGGGACACCCCAACTTATTCTGTATTTTTAAGTCCAAGACTAAATCTACATTATCTTGGTTACGTATAAATACATTTCTTAGACAATTGATAAAAACTCATGCCATGATGTTCTTTCAGGACAGTGGGGAAATTGAATTATAGTTGGGAAGATATTCTTATATTAGTGGGTCACGGCTTACGTCATTGTCGTCATGGTAGATGAAATTAACAAAAGATTTTCCCAATTTGTAATAGGGGTGCACCGGAACTCGGTTCCGGCCGGAACCCCGATTTTTTAGAGTTCCGGTTCCGGCCGGAACTAGTAAAAAAAGCATGGCCGGAACCGGAACTCTGTCGTTTTCAGGGAGATAGAAAATCAAACGTTTTTGTGTCTAACAAAAGGTCACAGTAGGAAGAAAGTTGGACTACGCAAGGGAAATGTACACTATTAATACTTCATTATGACGTTTAACGTTTGTCAGTCTTTTTATTCTGACATTTGCGAACTCTCTACTTGATGATTTGAAGTGTCTGCTTGTCTGGCAGCGGACAAAGTAACATATGACTATATATGGCTTAATAAATTAGTTCCGGAACTTCCGGCCGGAACTTTTTTCCAGTTCCGGTCGGATCCGGTTCCGGCCGGAACTTAAAAAAACGGTTCCGGTGCATCCCTAATTTGTAATTCAAATTTGATCTAACATGGCGAGGATTCCTTTCTCCTTTGAATGTACCTTTAGATTATTTTATTAGTTGTGCACCACCAAAAAGACAAAAACAGGCTGCGACAGATTTCTAACACTCAGAGTTGCGGAGTTAATGTCTTTGGCTTTCCATGATTGGAAATTTCACATAATTCCAGCACCAATCATGCGGATTGTTTAAAGCCGGACTTTTTTTCATCGCTTATGTTTGACATGCATACAGTATATGCTCGCGCTTATGCCTGATGTTAATAGAAAATGAGTTGTTAATAGTAGCAGCCAATTGTGGAAGAAACAACCTTATTAAACTCTTTCATCCTATCGTCGATGGAGAAAATGTTCCGAATATATTATTAGTTATATATATTTCACTGACATTGCAGAATTTTCCCAACTGACGTACAGTGACGTCTCTGTGTTTGCTCTTGGTTACTTTTAAGTAAAAATACAATGCTAGAAGCGCAAACCTTTTAAATTTGTCAAAATAGTCAAATCCTTTCGATAGACGAAACAACGTCTTGCTCTCATTATCTATAAATTAAATATTAAAAATTAAATATATCCGCTTTCTACCGGGATTATTGCTTGGGATTTCAATTATGTCCTGGCCTGGCCATACCACCCTCTTTTTTAAAGCAAGAAATTTATTAACCCCAACCCCACTTTATTACCCCCCCCCCCACTCTATTAAGCCCTCTCTCCTCCCCCCTCCCCAATTAAAGTGCATGTCCAAGCAATTAAAAAAAAACAATACAGCAGGGGTGGAAAATATAGCGGACCATGGGACCAATGGTCCCAGAAAATATTTTATGCTGGCAGAAAGAAAAAAGGGAAGGAAGAAAAAGGGGGAAAGAAAGAAGAGAAGGGAAAGAAAGAAAAGAAAAAGAAAAAGGAAGGAGAGAAAAAGAATAGAAAGAAAAAGAGAGTAACTGCACCAATAAGTAGCCATTTTGTTCAGGGACAGACACTAGGTGTAGGGGGTGTCCCCAAAATAATTTCTGAAAGAACTTTGATAGCGTAATGTAGCCTCATTTGCAGGCAGCCTTGTATCGTACCACTGCCCTGGTTCTAAAATTTGCTATCTGTACCGTTCCCCTCCCTCGGAGGGTTTTTTCAGGGATTTTTTAGGGCCGTAAAACGGCCCCAAAAACTCAATCTTGAACTGAGTTTTGAAACTCAATCTTCTCACCAAAGTTTCAGTGCAGTAAAATGAAGTTGTTTGAGTTAAATTTGTGACGTGTGGAAATTAGTTTTCAGTTGAAAACCCAACAATAAAAGAAAAAATGGGTGGAATTCATCTCACACCACAAGAAAAACTATGCATTCGCCATCTTTAACCAGTTTATAGTGTTCCTTAGTGCCCCTGCTTTAACACATTGCGTCTCAACTACATTTATTGGCAGCCACCCCAACTGTTCAGCTAAACTCAATCTTCTCTGCAAAAACGGACCCAAGAGAAAATCCTGAAAAACCCCTGCCTCCTTAATTTCGATTCCCAATTTTTATTTCTATAGGAAGTAGTAACAGTAACAAATTACTTTATTAGCATGACTTTACATACAAGTATTGCTTATTAGTTGGTATAAATATTTACAAATGCAAAATGTTTTGTGGTAGTATGACATACTGTCCGTATCGAGTAGTGCAAGGAATACAAATGAAGTTATTGATACAAAAGTACCCCCATTTACATGAGAGTACTCCATTTACAGCGTATAATTGAAGAAGTTTGGGTTAGTTCAACAGCCTATTCAGCATTCATGGTTTCAAGGCATTTAGATCTCTTCTCAAAACAGAAAGAGATAAATTTCGATAATTTTATCACAGTTTCATTATCAGTTGATTTCATTATCTCAACTAGTAAACTGTGTTCATTAGATCTGCTTCATTGGTGCATGGGATCACATTCCAAGTAATTTAAAAAGTTTTCTCAAAGACAGTAGTAGGCCTCACAGGAAGTTAGGAAGTGATGTTCCGTTTCAACTTCTCCTGACGCCAAGGCCTTGCATACTCGGTCTTCTTGCAGAATAAACAAAAGATGGACATTTATTTTTCCCCAAAGTGTCTGCCAGTGTAAGCACAACTAAAGGCAATCATAGTTAATAGAAAATAAACATCGTTAGGAAGATTGGTAAACTTCAAGTAGTTTCCTAACCAAACTTCAATTGATGTCGAAAACTTGAAATGTACATGAAAGTACACAATTTGTTGATCAATATTAAAATCTTACAGTTGGGCAATTGCTTCATTATACAGAACAAAATGTTCACTCACTGTGAAAGTGCACAAATTTACATAAAGGCGAACAAAAACATATAACTTACAAATACAATACCTTTGTCCAGCTTCCAAATCATGTTTGTTTTCAGACTGCTAATTATGATGCAACTATTAATAAAGTTTAAAACCGCTTTCAAATTTTCACAAATTCACAGTCTTTCCTCACTTGTTTATTTCAATTAAATCCTTTCCTCAGTTGCTTTATGAAAGAAAATCTTCTAGGACTGCCACAGCTTTTATGTGGTACCATGGTTATTTAATAATTCTTAAAAATCGTATTTGTCCTCTTTGCAAATGAGCCTTTAATTAATTAAAATTATACAGGATTTGTGTCGACAACTCGCAGAAAATTTCCCCATTTTTCGGTGCGGTCCCAGAAAATAAAATATTTTTTCCACCCCTGCAATACAGAATACATTCCCAATTTTATATTGACCTTCTCCAGGCCCTCAAATGAACAGAACTTAAATGAAGAGAATAGAACACTGTTTCATTATATAGACAACTACCTGATATACAGTAGGTTATTGTACTGTATATCCCACAATTTGATTGGCTTTCTACTAGCATGCAGGTAAGGATATTTATTTAGCTCGGCTGCCAGTAGAAAAAACAAGATGGCGGCTCAAAAATTACCGAAGTTTAGGAAGTTATTCGATTTCTATAGCCTTAAAAGGATTAAAAACGCAATGAAAATCCCCAGCAACTGTT